CTGGTGGTAATTTTTGACTGTGTAACTTTACAAACGGCAGCCCGTACCCACCTCTCTCTGAGCCCGTTGATGACTCAGCTCCTCAGTCTCCTCCATCAGTTTATCTGCAGGAAGTCAAACACGTTTTAAAGATTTGCCTCTGCTTCTTAAATCTTTGTTCTAAAGTCGTCAGGTGAGTAGTTTCTTGTTACCCAGGTATTCTTGTTTCTCCTTGGCCAGCTGCAGACCCTGAGCCTCCAGGCTCTCTATCATGGCCTCCCCCAGCTGGGCATTTTTCCATGTACTGTTTGTCAGGTTTAATAAAGGAGGGTTAGGAAAATAAAACTCACAAATGCAGTCAKTCATCAAAACAGGAGAGAAACTGCACATTTTAACTGGTGCCAAAAGTTAAAACTCACACTTTTCCTGAGTCTTGGAGCATCTCTATCCACTGGGCCTGCTCYGGTTCTGACTCAGCTGCCAGGACTATTGTTCCCTGGGAGGTGAACAGAAACCATTAGCCATCAGTGATGAGTTCATGCTGTAAAACCTGCTGTGCAGGGTGTCCTTGGGTGGTTCAAATAATAAAACAGGGTTATCTATCATTGCAGAAGTGAAGTCACCTCCACTGTTTTATTCTTGTTATTTTTCCATTGTTGCAAACTTACATAAACCAACCTTCATTACCTGCTGAGTCAGAATTCAGTTCAATTCATTTCTATATACTGTATAACACTTATTCATAACAAATATTGTCTCAGGGCACTGTACAGAACCGTTCTCTTACATTATAACATCCACTTAGTTAAACTTATCAATGTAAGAAAGCAGATTGCAGTAAATCTTCACTTCATCACAGTCTTCCAACCTGAGCAGCACATTGTTAACAGTGGRAAGAATAAAATAAGTAGGGCTCTCAGCTGTACGTGTTGCTCTGTGGGTGAAGTTTGCCCTAACTGTGATTGGTTGGACTGACTTGTCTTGTGGTGCAATTTAAGAGGAAGTAATAGAAGTTATAAAATAGCATGATTTACTGACTGTCGATGGACAGTACAAAATGTGTAAATATAATTTATTGACCTAAAATTTAGTGTGGAAGCACCTTCCTGTCAAGTTTTGACTAACATTCATATATTTGACAAATATTAACATCTATATTTAAAAATATAGGTGCTTCCTGGTCAACTCGACCAATCTACTCCCAGCTTCTTCAAACCGCCGTCAATCCGACCAATCACGTCTTGGGTAAACTCCTCCCACAAAATAAGAAACCCCTCCTTAATGACTGCAGAGACCCTGAAAAACTCAAGTAGGGGTCTCTGTGGACGAGTGGGCGTGTCCCAACGAAAGGCGATTCTAAAGCGACACACCTGATTTGACGGACTTTGTTAAAGGGACACACCTGACTGGACAAGCAAAAAAGGGGCGACACCGTATGGCACCACTTGATTGGACAAAATACAAAAGGGGCGTTACTGTACGGCACCACTTTTTCTGGAGAACCCTACTTGGGTCGTCAGGCTGTAAAGAGATCAAGCAGGGTCTAAGGATACTGTCATGTTGGCCTCGTAGCCCACAGTGTTTATGCTTTAGACACGCCCACTCTTGTGACACGCCCACTTTGATTCCGCAGTTAACCCCTTCTCGAACTAGGCGGTCGCCTAGAGCGCCATCTGCTGGAGG